TGTTGAAAATTTTCTAACAAACACAACAAATATATATATATATTGGCCTTTGAGCTCGCCAATAGCTTTAACTATGCACTATACCGGTTACTTCGACTATACCAAATTATTTATGATAAGATAGGCAACGTAGGTAAAAATTACTCAGATTCTAATGTAATCTAGTCAGTTTTGAAAATGGTGTATTGACCGAAACTAGTTAATAAATATAGAACTATCATGAAAAGTAAACAAAACTGTGTTTTGTAGTGTATCCTTTCCAACATTTGCCACCCATTTCATAGCATTATTTGTCTGTGCTCTACTCTACTCTAAATAAAAATCTTAAATGTGACTATCTTAAATAAAGTTCATTCATAAATAGGTTCATTGAAATTTCGAGATACTCTATCAAAATAGTATATTTTTTTGTGCTGGATGTATAATGATCGATAAGTTTCAGAAAAGTGGTTCATGTTTTAATTGTTATATTCAAGAAATCAACCAGGCATTTGGCACATAATAAATCAAGGCAGATTCTCCAATCTACGAGTATTTCTGAACATCTGTCCATTAGTCCATCTTTCTCATTAGTAAAACAGAATGCTGCAAACTGTATGGTGAAAGCACTCCTTTCGAAACCTTACTCAGATCAATTTTTTGTAGTGCATATTTGATATTATTCAATAAATCATAATCGGACTCAATTAGTTTTCGAGATATAGCCTGTAAAAGTTTGTTTGATGTCATATTTTACCTTTTTCTATTAAGCAATAAACGATTGCAATTCACATATTTTTTATTCAACAATTTTTTTCCATATCACCGCACTTTTTTCTATACCTTTTCATTCACTTATTGCTAAGTTCCTTGAAATTAGATTGAAATTCCATAATTTGTCACATGCTAACTCAACCTAACCTAACCCGACCTAACCTAACTCAGTCTAACCTTACTTTAGAATTTTAAAAACTCTGTATCCTCAACATCTAACCTGACCTCCAAATTCAAAAAGGAACGTATTTTCGAATATTTACTTTTGTAAAAACTATGTTTCCTCAACATCAAACCTAACCTCCGAATTATAAAAGGAACGTATTTTCGAATAGTGAAATTTAATGCAATTTATGAAAAATGATTTGTTTGCACCCACCGGCATAACCTATAAGGTTATGTCGATGTGTGCACCTGACAAATTATGGAATTTTATTCTAATTTCAGGAAACTCGGCAATAAGTGATTGAAAAGGGATAGAAAAAGGTACGATGATATGAAAAAAAGTGTGTTAAATGAAAAAATATGTAAATTGCAACCGTTTATTGCTTAAAAAAGGTAGAATATGACGTCATACAAACTTTGACAGGCTATATCTCGAAAACTAATTGAGTCCGACAAAAAATAAAAAATGTTCTGAATTCCTACCATCATGTAGTATCATCCCAGAAAAATCGCGAAAACCCGTGAGTATCCCATAAAGTATAATTTAGCCATATTTTGTTTCAATAATATGGAAAGCTTATACCGAATTGCGTACATTTTATTTGTTACTAGGTTGGTCATACGATGACGTATTACCTTACTTTCTGAAATCTGAAGGCGCACATGGACTGACAAAGGCAGATTGGAATTTTCACAATAAGGATGGTCCTTTGAGTATTGAAAATACGTATCAATCTCTCGTAGTTAAATCAGCTATATCAGGTAAGTCACAATTTTAGGCATACCTGATATCTTAATGATATGAATATGAACTCCCTGAAAGACTTGTTGGTGGATTCATTGCCGGGCAGAAAATGGAATCATCGACATACTGATGTTGAACACTTATCTTTTTGCCAGCTATTTTTCCATTGTTGTTTTCAAAGCTGTACCATTGCCATTGCCGCATCATATGAAACTTTGCAATCTTTTCCATTGCGCGTGATGTGTCCTGATCGAAGCCCCAGAGAGTGTTTTCATTTTTTAATCATCAGTGAGTAGTGAGCTCTATACGCTGTGTAAAAGCCAAATGAAAGAAATTCATAATTTCGGTTACTGTACATATTCAAAAAACCCGAAACACGTCAAATGTTAATTATATTTTGACATTCTTCAACGTAAAAATGCCATACCTACCTTCAATCCCTCTTCGAATGACAGGTACAACCCCCAATTTTTTAAATGGGAAGTATTGTTTTGTGATATATCGTTTGAAAGGTCTCTTCATTCTCTATTCAAAATTGTTATCGCTTTCAAGTTTATTGTAACATTTAAGATAAAATAAATTGAAATCATGTGGTTACCGAAATTCGATAAAATACACTCAAAAACTAAAATATAATGCAAAACGTAATGAAATGTAGAATACGAAAAAGAATTATGGATGTTAACGAAGTAGATGTTCGAATGTACGACCTAATCGTAATCGTTATTCGTTCTTTCAAGTCATTCAAATCTGAAGGTTTAGTTTTGTACATATTGCTCTTTACATATCCCCATAGAAAGAAATCTAATGTTGAAAGATCAGGTGATCGCGCTGGCCATTCAATCGATCCTCGCCTTCCTATCCACAGATTATGAAATGTTGTATCGAGGTATTGTCGGACATTAACTTGGTAATGTGGTGGTGCTCCATCCTGCTGAAATCATATCGTATTCACTAGAACTTGAGTTTCCCCTGGATCAGGATATAAATTTGCTAAACTTGGAATGTCATCATTTTGAAGTAGTGCCAAATAATTATCGCCATTCGAATTGCCCTCAATGAAAAAGAGACCAATGGTATAGTTTCCTACAATCTCTGCCCAAACATTAACCTTTTAAGGGTATTGCGTCTGTTCTTCTCTCATCCAGTGAGGATTTTCCGTTGAGACAAAGTACACTCATCAGAAAAACATAACGTCTTCTAATTGGATGATATGTATCCAACATATCCATCATTTGCAAACAGAAATAAGTTCTTCTATATTAGCTCCTGAGTAGGTATCATTTTATAGGGATGCATTTTATTTTCTTTCGATATGTTTACTATCGATTTATGGCTAACATTGAATGTAGTGGATGCTTGTCTACTCGATGTATGTGGGTTTTTCTCAGACTCAAGTATCACATCTAATTTGAGTTCATCACTCCTTGCATTGGCAGCTGCTTTTTTTTATCTGCCCCACATGACCAAGCTCGCGAAACTGCTTCTCTATTTTGTTTATTGCTCTTTGAGATATGAGCGATAAATTAGGAAATTTCTCATGGAATAGGAGAGCTACTTCTTGTTGTGTTCGGGTTTTATCTCCGTAACCAATCATTTGTAAAACTCTTATTTTATGCATTTCCGTTAATTTAACCATTTTTCAGACTTGAAGTTAACGAACTTTAAACTTTTAAATTTATTTTAATTGTTGCAAAAAACTTGAGAGCGATAACATTTTTGAATAGAGAATGAAGAGACCTTTCAAATGATATATCACAAGCCTATACTTCCCATTTAAAAAATTGGGGGTTGTTCTTGTCATTCGACGAGGTTGAAGGTAGGGTTAGTATTTTTCCGTTGAAATATGTCAAATTATAATTTGAATTTGACGTGTTTCGGGATTTTATCAAAATATGTACCGTAACCGAAATAATGAATTTATTCCATTTGCCTTTTACACACTTTATGTACATACACACTGTATGTACTGTATGTACAGTTTGAATATACCAGCAACCGTGGTGAATTGTTGTATTCAGTTTGGAACACTGTAACTAGAATAGAACCTAAATTTAGGAATCATATCTCTCATGATAAATAGCATATTGAGCTCCCACGTATTTTGGATTTGCTGGATCCTGTGGCAAAACGATTCAAGGTAGAGTCTATGAAATCAGAACATATCTTCCTCTCTCTCTCTCTTTTCGCCATGTGATAATAAGAGAGCGAAAACTGGACAATTAAATATTTAGATAACACTCGTTTTCGAAAACCACCTACCCATTGATTGAAAATGTCTAATATGTAGGGTAATTCCGGTGGAGATAACCCTAGTAACTTGAAAACTCTACTGTGAAGGAATTATAATGAATAACACATTAATTAATAAAAAAAATAAAGTGCTATCATCTAAAAAAAACACAAAAAATGGTTCTCACAAGAGATGTTATTGGAGAAATTAAATCCGCTGTGAATTCAACGGTGAACAAATGTCTAAAAGAACAGTCGTTTATAAAAACCATCTGTGAAAACGTGTCGATCGCAGTGAATAAAGCAATGGAGCAGAAACTTATCCAAATTGAAGAAAAAATTGTAAACTTCCAGGTTGAATTCTCTCAAATGAAAACCGATATGGAAAGTAAAATTAACAGGTTGGATATGGAAATCACAGGACTATTACAAGAGAAAAGTATTATGGAACGAAAATGCGATACCCTAGAACAAGCAACGAAGATGAACAATCTCAGAATTTTTAACTTACCCGAAAAAAACAAACGAAAAAGTAAAAGATGAAATCATTGATCTCCTGAATACGAAGATGTCCATTGCACTTAATGGAAATGATGTCAAAATCTGCAATAGAATAGGGAAAAAAGAGGGAAATAAGGTGAGAGGTGTTTTCCTACAACTTAGAAACCACAAACTGAGACAAGAAATACATAGAAGAAAGAAGCTCATGAAAGGGACCGGCATAGTCATCCGAGAAGATTTAACAAGACTGAGAGTTGAACTACTAATAAAGACTATAGAACAAACTACAATGAAAAACGTTTGGACTGACTTGGGAAATATTTTCGTTCTCGTTTGCGAACTTCGTGTAGTTTCACAGGCAGTGGAGACACTTCGTTAAGTACTCTTGTTGGTGTTGGTTGATCCACCGTTTGAATGGATGTATTTGGGCCTGGATCTGGAATTGATTGGGCCTGCGCTGTATGTTCGATATTTCTTTCAACGGGTTGTTCAATGTTCTCACTAAAGGCGTACTCCAGAATAGCTCCTGGATTTAGCGGGAAAACTCCTGCTGTCCTAAATCCTTATCCTGCATTTCCACTTGTCGCTGATTTTCCCCAGGCTTGGTATACAATACATAACCTACAGGATTCATAGAAGTAAGTTTTGAGGGACTTGAAAACAAGAACATCCAGCAGCTGAAAGTAATGGGATGTGTGTGACGGCATTGAGAGTAAGATGATGTCATTATCACTGTAACGTCCACTCGACTGTGTCGATATGATCGCGGCTAGCGTTTATATATCGTGATCGAATGCGCTAGAAAAAATATTTTATGTTACTTCTAATACCTCCAACAACATGTGTGCAGAATTTCATGATGATCAGTTGGGTGGTTTTCGCGTGAAACCGTAACAAGCAAACTTACATTCGCATTTATAATATTAGTAGATATAATATTAGTAGGGATCATGGTTTTGTACTAAAAGTACAAAAACAAGATGAGGAGATGACAAGTGAAAACTTCCTAAAAATTTAAAAATATATCTACTCCGAAGTACGAAACCGTTTAAAAAAATGTCCCTTTCAATCAGTCATCTGAACAATGTATTTTTCAAATTGATCTAATATTTCCTTGTTTTTTTCAAGCCGGTAAAGATATCGGCATTCCCTACGTAGATTACAACTCTCCACTGACTCCACTTGGATTTTCTCCTGCACAATCGCATTTACGCCATGGAAAGAGATTCAGTGCAGCCAGAGCCTACTTAGAACCGATAGCAAAGAATAGATCAAATCTGGATATAGTAACTTCTGCTCTTGTAACTAAACTTCTCATCAACGACCAAAAGAAGGCATATGGCGTGCAATATGAAAAAGGCAAAAAAACATATTCTGTTCGTGCTCGAAAAGAAGTTATATTGTCTGCAGGTATGTAGTCACTCATCTAATATCAACGAAACTCCATGATTAATTTTGTTCTCAGGTGCAATCAACACCCCTCAAATCCTGATGTTGGCAGGCATTGGTCCCAAGGACCATTTGGATGAGATGGGAATTCCTTGTGTGCAGAGTTTAGCTGTAGGAAAGCATTTAATTGACCACCTGACTTTCCACGGCGTAGTTTTCAATATATATTTCGATATCGACCAAACTACCTTGAGATATATACTTAGTGCTCCAGAAATTATTATGAAGGGAAAAGGTCCATTATCCACATTAGGAGGAGTCGAAGGTGTGGGTTTCGTGAAAACAAATCTATCTACTTACGAAGAGGATAATCCCGATATTGAGTTTTTGTTTATAAGAGGTCATCTGGCTTCTGATCATGGAAATTGGATAAGACCAGGTATTTGAACAGAAACTGACTTTGAATACAACTTTGAATATAAATTGAAAGTAACGGAGTATGAACATACCTAACTGTAAAATGTGACTAACCCATTCCGCCACACTAGACGTATTTGAAGTAAAATAAGTAATGACAGTTTGGAAATAGACAAAGGAAATAATTCAATTCAATTCAATTTATTAAAATATTGATTACAAAACATATATTTTGCTTACTGCTATATAGAGGCATCTGGTTTAGGAGCAGAAATTGACACCCTTCCAGTTGCTTTTGAATTTAAAGAATCTTTGTGCCGTCATTTTGAGAACTGAGTATCGCCGGATGTCGATTCAGCAGGTCAGTATTGACATTGAGCCATGTCACCTTGGGTATAAATAAAGGAGGTCAATGAACAACAAATAACAACTCCCTTTATATTCAAAAAGTTGGTGCGATCCCGCAACTTTTTATGACCAGGAATATAATAATAATAATATATTTATTCATCAACAACATTGAGTTAGTACAGTTTATAACAGAAATCATATGTGAAGGAACAAACGCAAGAACAACCAAAAGAAAATATATAGCGCATGGCTATTGTTCTGGCTACAACTGCTAGTGACATATGTAACAATCGCAGGACAAAAAAATAAAGCGCTATATATACAGGGCGTAACTGAATAAGTGTAAAACATTTGAGGAGGTGATTCCTCATCGAAAAACAGATAGGATCTTTCATATAAAGAAACTTCATTGGAGCATCCCTTGTTAAGATACAGCCCCTTAAAGGGGGTACATAAAATTTGTATAACAATTTTTTTCACAAGCACTGAAAAAGTTACAATATTGAAATTAACCTGACGTTTTGTACTACCAAAAAGACACTTAGCCAGA